GAGGTATAGCTTTGGAGGCACTATCTACCTGTCCATTTCTTGTTAACGCTTGAGAATGTAAAAACCAAGGTCATGGAAACAAAAGCTTCTTCAGTTTAATTTAGGCTGTAGCTAAGCAGAAGATATTGCATTGTGAATTGTCACAATTGATATTACATACACAGATAAACCTCGACTAGCAATTTTCTTGAGCTTTGATTATGCTTTAGGCAATGTTATAAGATTTTTATATTCTAGCATACAGCTTGATTTCACAGAAAAAAAAGTGTTATTATCGCTCATCTTTGTTATGGTTTGGAGCATGCAGTAACAGCAAAACAAATGTGCTTTATTATGTTCCAGAGGGGTTTTTTTTCCTGGTCTTTTTACCAGGAAATATATTTTATTTTATTGTACAGGTCATGGGGTGTTTCATGTAGAGCATATAATTGAATGCTAGAGCTTAAAATAACTATTAACTGTTTAATGTATCCTTACAACATGCACTCTAAACATAGAGATGCCGTAGATGCTTCTTAATATGTATGTTTACCAGAATTTTTTTTTTTTTTTAATTTTTATGTATAGTGGTAAAGTTTTTAGAACCTTTGTTAGCTTTTTACTGTTTGTGTCCCCACTGGAGTGATCACCCTCTCTACCAGGGGCGGACTGACAACTCATGGGGCCCCCGGGCAATAGGAGATCATGGGGCCCCTGTGTCCTTGCCCAAACTCAAAAAAGCCTATGAAAAAGGTACCAGGGGCATCTCACGGGGCCCCCTACTGACCCCAGGCCTTCGGGCAGTGCCCGTGTTTCCAAATGGTCAGTCCGCCCCTGCTCTCTACTTGTCTTCAGGAGCAACATACAAATACAAATAGAAAATTAGGTCAAATCTAATATTTTTTACAATATTTTTTATTGCCACCAGAATAATTCTGGAGAAGAGAGAAGTCACTATTAGCAGAATATTTGGTGGAATGTACTCCTAATGATGAATAAGAGGACACGAGAGATGGTGCCTTAGTCTACAAGGGGAAGGGAAAAGGATGAAGGAAACAAACAGGAGGGAACGGTTGAAGAGACCAGGAAGCATAATTAAGAAAAGAGGAGATGTTTTATAGGAATGTATAAAAACTACCCTATTACAGAATGTGTGTTTGTAGCACCATAAAAGGGCATACATGTAGTGACCAAAATCAACAAAACAAATATATCACATACAATTCCACATTTAATATACAAAAGTAAAAAAATACATAGTAGTAACCACATCCATGTGTTGTACCCAGGTAAAGTTCACATCTATAATATAGAGAAATATTCCTGTTTTCACAAAACTTGTCCACATAAGCAGCTTGACACGTTTCGAAAACACTTTCTTCTTCAGGGGCTCTTTTGAACAGATAGGATGTCCAGAACAGGTTCAATATATAAAAACAGTGGTAAAAGACAATAGTTACAATTGCTAAACAACATGATAGAACAGCAGGAGGCATGTAGTGGATCAGAGTTGTATGCTTGTGACATCAATGGTTACCAACAGCTATCACCCCACATGCATATGCAAAAAGTAGTTATATCAACTGGCATCTACAGATACATGATCATTCAACAATGGTAGAGCACACTGGTCATGGTGGAAATTAAAGCAGAGAGTTTAACATATTTTTGTGTGTGTCAAACATCCATCATAGAGGCTGCCCATAAAGAAGAATTTTATTTGATATTTTTCTGTTTTGTTGGTTTTGCTCACTACATGTATGCCCTTTTACAGTCCCTTTGCTAAAACACACATTATGTTATACAGTGGGATGTGGGTATACTATCATGGTGAATATGTAAATAAGATAATTATATGGCACTAAGATAGCTGGGGCGATGGGGTTGAAATGGCCATGCAATTAAAAGTGACATAGGAGTCCATAAAATTAATGAGCAAAACTCTCATTTTAAGGGCTCATGTACACTGCAGTTGCTAAACTGACATTCAGGAGCTTTTCTGCATTTTTTTCAGCAGCCCCTGAACTCTCCCTAATGTTTTCCTATGTGTCCATGTACACATAGTGGTTTACAGTCAGTTGAGTTTACAGTCGTTTCTTTGAACGCACCAAACTTGCGTGCAGGAGTAGATTTTACCGGCGTTTCAAACGCTAAACTCTTGTAAAAGCGGTTAACTGTTTAGAAGCATTTGCGTTTAGAAGCGTTTTTTAACTGTTCCATGTCCAGATGCTGTCCAGAGCCTTTTTTCATCATCAGAAATGCATGCAAAGCATTTTCCATGTATTCAAATGGATAGTACACCAGCGCAGTCAATTCCAGGTTTTGTGTGAATGAAAAAATGGTAGAACGTGCTGCATTATGCTCATGATGGGATCCATAGTGAAAACAACCAGAAAAGACAGGTAATCTCAACACATACTGCTCTCTCTGCTTCTGCTCTCTCTTTTTCCTTTCAAAATGTCTGAAATAGTTAATTTTTTACTATTTTTCAGTGCATTCTGGGCATTTGGGAAGGCATCCTGAGGTTATCTTTTAAAAGCGCCTCTAAACGCAAAAAGCACGTAAATGTGGTATGCAAACGCGGCTAAACTGACGTTTTCCAGCAGTCAGTTTCCATCGTTCAGAAGAGTTTTCCAAACACCCTGTGTACATGAGCCCTTAGAGTATTGGATATAATTCCAGAAGCAAGAAAGGACATGGAGTGCCACCACATAGGTTTAAATATTTCTTTTTAACAAAAGAAGGATAAAAATTGCACTGACATTTAGTGTGTACATAAAAGCATGTACCATCCTCTGTTGTGGTCTGCAGAGCTCAGCAGGGTATTGGCTGGGTAGGTAGAGCAATGCGGGAAAGTTTCTGGGAGATCTGTGCAGAGTACTCTGTGGAAGCACTGCTAGAGACAGTAAGTCAATGTAGAGGACAACTGGACATATCCACATCCCGGCTGTCCTCTACATTGACTTGCCTTTTCCAGCAGCGCTTCCATGTCATACTCAGCATAGATCTCCCAGCCACTTCCCAGCATCGCTCTGCCTACCCAGTCTCTACTCTGCCAAGCTCTACAGACCCCAACAGAGGATGGTGCATGCCTTTATCTACACACTAAATGTTAGTGCAATTTTTAGCTTTGTTTTGTTTTAATAAAATATCTACACTTAGGTGTGGTGCTCCCTGTCCTTCCTTGTTTCTACATGCTAGCATGGTATCTTCTTCCCCCATTGAGATATAAAAACTACCCTGTTTGTCTGTCTTTCCTTATGTGTCATGTCTATGTTTGAGACTATAGAGATGTATATATAGGATGATATTAAGGAGATAATTGGTGTAATTCTATGTGGAAAAGTACGAACAATAATAATAGAATAAAATGGTCAAGGGAAAAAAAAAATCTAAAGGTGAATTCTTCACTCCTGTAACATCTACCTACAGGTTTGCTCACTTTCTGTTGGGTTTGGGACACAGCCGAAAAAAAGGCTTGTCAAGGGTTTTAACCATATCTTGTGTATCGTAGAGTACCTTTTCACTTTAGATACTTTATTTGCAAAGTCTTTCATTTAGCTGCCCATACACTTGTTTGTTGTTTTTTTCTTTTTCAGAAATAATGAAAGAATTGGTGGTTGCTGTGTGATATTTACAGCGTGCATTGACCTTTCTTTACAACCTGGGCATTGTTTTGCATGTCAAAATGGATTATTTGCTTGTATCTTTCCTTCTTCAGTGTATATCAGAATAACATTGCTAGCATGCAACCAATGTGCATGATTGCTTGACTAGCTTTATGCTAGTCAAAACTATCAACTGGAGAACTATCGGCTTAACAGTGACTGCGTCCTATCAGATGTAATTACTGTTTGGATATTCAGGCGGTTGCAAGTGCTGAATACTATAGCCAGCAGTAGAGATTCCTCTATCCATACTGTCACAAACCCATGCCTAGCATTTTGTGTACATTTTTGGTGTTTTGAAATTTGTATACATTTTGGTATTTTGAAAGGAACTATAATAAATTTGTGCATTCACAGCTTAATTATTGTATTATTTACCTGAAAAAGTTGTTTGTTGTGCATATTTGTATAGCTCACTGTGTAATAATTAATGACTTTTATACATTTATAGATTTAGAGATTCCCCTCTAGTGGCTATTTGTATATTAGGGTGTATGGTCAGCATCCCTGCTGGGCAGCTGCTGAGATAAAATCGTTATGCCACAGTAGGGATTAATTAAAAGTAAACTTCAGGCAATATTAAAACCCACAGTTTAATTCAGATATGTATTCATTAAATAATCATTACATATACTTTTAATATGAACTAGCATTAGTATGGGAATTAGACTTGGTATCGGCATTCTGTACTCCCCTGCACAGCAACATACCACTGTGTCTGAATTTAAGTGAACTTGTGTATATGTAATGAGCACATATGGTTACCTCCATGTCATATTTACAAACAGTTTCACTCAGTACATTTTGAATAGACTGTATTAGAATATAATTAACCACAATCACTAAATCTCATATACGTTTTAATATGTTGATGTCTTTTCCAAAGTCATTTTCAATTTTTTGATTTTTTTTCATCATTCATAAAAAAAATTCTTATCTTGAAAGTCCTTGTTCAGGCACTCTGCTCTATAGTTCTGCTTTTATGTAATGACAATATTCTGTACTTGTCCCCCAACTGTTCTCCGTCTTTGTCATCCTGGCACACGGGCTTCAAATAATGACTATAGGCTGCAGTGTCAGGGCACGTTGCATAGGCATGGTCCAATGTTTTCACTGTCAGTAAACCTACCCTGAGAAATTAAAGTGTTACTAAACCCAGGTTCCTTCATTCGCTATATCTGGTCTCCCACACTGAACAGAACATGGAAGTGCAATTATTTTAGTGAATATAAACTGCTAAATACCTTTTCTCATCAGCAGTTAGAACAGTCTTGTGACTTCTATCAGTGTCCAGCCGAGCACTGGTTATAGCTTGTAAGAGGAGTTTTCTTTCTGCTCTAGGAAGATGCAGGACCCCTGGCCTCTCTCTGGACAGTGCTGATTGGCCCTGTGCTGATCACATGCACTCTCCCAAGAAACAAAAAAAACCTCTCTAGCAATACACACTAAACTGAGCATGTGCCAAGTGTCTACACACGATGTGTCTTATCAGAAGTCAGGATCAAACAACCTTTTTACACAATGCAGAGCATTAACCCCTTAGGTTCCACAGTGGGTATAACAAGCATGCCTTACTGCTTATACAGACTGATTTTACTGTTGCGGGTTTAGTAACACTTTAAGTGCCATTAAACTATTGCTGGAGTGCATGCAGGTCAATACAAAATGGTTGCAAAAAGGTTGTAGGACATTGGCAGCACTGGGATGCAACAAAAAATTAAAAAAAGGTGCAAAACAGGTGAAACAATTTTAATATTTTTTTGTATACTGTTTATAATACACTATGCTTTAGCAACTAAATGTCATTCAGTTAGGGTTTCCATCTTCTTTAAGGAGACATTGTTGCCTACTCTAGGCAGGGCAAAAGGACAGCATTTCTGCAAAGTGACCCCCTATATTTACTTTACCAGCAATTGCTTGCTTCAAGGCATTCTGTGAATAGTGCCCATGCCAAGCAGGTGACCACCTTTGGTTACTATGCAGCAGAGCAGCCATTCCGCATGCGATCCGGACAACAGCAGTGATCACTGTTGCAGTGGCGCCTACAATGATTTTCCAGTTTCCAAATGTATCTCACAGATATAGAATATGCATGCTTACATTGATTCAAGCTGTAACTATGCTCAAAAATCCATGCTTAAACTTCCGTAACTATGTTTAAGTATCCATGCCTAAACCGCAGCTTTAATATCTGGTAGCGCTGGAGTGTTGCAACCGGATGACTGCAGAATAGGAAGGGGTAGTATAGAGGAGTTTGCTGGTTCTTTTCAAGAGATTTTGTCACTTTGCCCTGAATTAAGCAAAAAAAAAAAAAAATAGGGGTTTGATTTACTATAGGAAAATAAACTGTTCCCTTTGCAACTGCGGCTACATTTTCCCCAGAGTAAATGTGATGTATGTACCCAAAGAACCCCCAGTTGGACTTTAATGCAGCGATAGGATCATACATGTATTGAAAGACATTTGGTTAAAATAGATTTTTATCAACTTTATTACATACACATTTCCATTGTAATATTAAATACATGATTTCTAAAAAGAATATTGTTCTGACAGTATTCTTACTCTTAATACAAAAATATGAAACCACACAGAAAAGAGAAAAAAAATTTTGACACGTTTCGATCATTCCACATTCTAGATCTTCCTCAGGGGGCATGAAAGACAAAGGACTTTCTAGTAGATATATAAACAATCATAAATGAGTATACCGAAAAATAAATAAACAGATAATCAAAAAATTTTTTCATAAAAAAAGAGGTTTTTTTTTTTTTACTTACAAAAGCATATGTCAGAGCAAAAGAGATGATGATTTCCAAGATGAGAGGCTGGACACCATGTTCCGGTAGGATGCATCATCCAAGAGGGCAAGATGGTCAGATGTAAGTCACCAGACAAGGACTGGCAGAGGGGCACCAGAATATCCCCCCAATGGGAGTAAATAGGGTATGAAAAACAGAAGTAAATGTGATGTCGCTCTTCTGATTTCCATCATTCAATCATGTGCAAGCAAAAATTACGTTTTTTTTTTTTCTATTTTACTTGGACCTGATTGGGTAAAGGTTAAGCTTCACCACATTCACTAAGCTCTGCAACTGCACTTGCCTTTAGTACATCCCAATGGGACTAAAGATGGTATGAAAAACAGAAGTAAATGTGATGTAGCTCTTCTGATTTCCATCAATCAATCATGTGCAAGTAAAAATGCATTTTTTTTCTATATTACTTGGACCTGATTAGGTAAAGGTGAAAGTTCACCACATTCGCTAAGCTGTGCAACTGCACTTGCCTTTAGTACATCCCAATGGGACTAAAGATGGTATAAAAACATAAGTAAATGTGATGTGGCTCTTCTGATTTCCATCATTCAATCATGTGCAAGAAAAATAATTTTGTATTTCTATTTTACTTGGACCTAATTGGGTAAAGGTGAAGCTCACCACATTCACTAAGCTCTGCAACTGCATTGCCTTTAGTACATCCCAATGGGACAAAGATGGTATGAAAAACAGAAAAATGTGATGTAGCTCTTCTGATTTCCATCAGTCATGTGCAAGCAAAAATGCATTTTTTTTTCTATATTACTTGGACCTGATTGGGTAAAGGTGAAGCTTCACCACACTCACTAAGCCCTGCAACTGCACTTGCTTTTAGTACATCCACCCCTAGATTCCCTTTTAAAAAGTTAGAACTATAATAAATATGGATTAGCCAAAGTCCTTTTGTTTTATGTTGCAGAAAGAGAGTTATTACACAGCAGGTTATCAAGTGATTAACACGATGGCAAATCAAATGTAATTATTCCAAAAGAAAAAAGAAATATGATTGCAAGTGATATTTCAATTTCCTTGATATGCAGGGTAAAAAACCTATAGGTTTGTTGTGTTCTAGCGATCTATTTTAGTAATATGTCTTAAAGAACCAAGACTTGAAATAGTTAATATTTGCAGGCTAAACACTTATCACTTTCTCTTAAATGCCATAGGGAACCATTGATAAGTGGTTAGGCATTTTCGGAGTTGACGTGGTGTTCGCTTGTCCGATCGTTTTGTTGTGTTCTTGAGATCTATTTTAGTAATATGTCTTAAAGAACCAAGACTTGAAATGGTTAATATTTGCAGGCTAAACACATATCACTTTCTCTTAAATGCCATAGGGAGCCAGAGATAAGTGGTTAGGCATTTTCTGAGTTGACGTGGTGTTCGCTTGTCCGATCGCATACTTCCCAACAGACAGCAAAGAAGCAATTAAAAAAAGACATCTGTGCCAGGGTTTAACTCACCAAAGAGGGCAAGCTCTTGTGTTTAAGAGGGATAGAAATCGATCGATGAAAGTGTCTGGACCTGTTAGCACCAATAAAGCTGAAGGCCACTGGGAGCTCAGAGAGGGCCTTTTGTTGTATAGATACTGAGCAGACTGAACTGTGCCACGATAGGGGGGATAAGGGTCAGGCTGTGCAATCATCCATCTTCCTCAGTGGCAGCTTTCTGTCACATTGTAGCTTGGATCAGCTGAAGAGGCACATCTCTATTGTCGACACCACACCATTCTCAAGCAAGAGAAAATTAAGTTAATATTCAATGACCTTATACATGGCCAATAAAAGACATTCCTGTTACTTTGGAAATAATGGCATGTGACACTTCAAAAAAAAACAACCACTCCAGGGTCATGTGTGTTTGCTTTGGATTTCTATGCAAAGAGGCATTGTTGAACCCTCAATGGGCTTCTTTATGATTTTCTTAATAACTTGAAATTTACCTTTTGGCCCAAAAGATCAAATCATAAATTTGCATGTCATTATGCATGTGTGTCATTTATTCACATGGGGTAAATTGAATTACTGTTAGGAGTAACATTATACTGGAAAAACAACCAAGGCAAATGATGAATGTGTAGTCTGTGCAGGTGCAGAGTTTCGCTAAGCATATGTACATTCTCTCTCTTTCTGATTCATAATTAGCTCTGTTTTGCATTTATGGAAAACAGAAAGCATAATTTTAAAGTAAAGACATGTTCAGTATTAATCTGATAACATTATTGTGAAATTTAGTATACCAATTCAGAAAAGTTCATTTGACCTAATGGAAGGGGATTTTTCTAAAGGGTTTAAGATATTTATGTTACTTGGTATGCCACTGATTTTGCTCATGTGTTGTTATGACCAACATCTGCTTTCTTATTTATAAAGAACAGACGTTAAATCTAAGTGGTGGGCTTACCTTCTAAGGTGGACTTGGGTCTATAGACATTTTCTCCAGGGCTTCCAGGTATCCCCCAAATTTGTATGCTTTGTTGTGCAATTATGGACAATAGCATGTGTGGCTGATCCTTGGCTCTCCTCCCTCTACCCTTGGCACCTTCATATTGCCCAATATGGCCATCCATTGCACTTGATAGCTGCTAGATAATTGCTATCAAATATAAAGTCTGCGTTTTGTGGCGTTGATCAGGTGCTCTGAAATTGACATGAAACTGTTTTGCTTTATGGAGCTGGAACTTTTCGTTAAGCTAATTTCAGCTCTCTAATAACCTTCCCTATATGAGAAAAGAAAATGCATACTAGTCCATGTAGTCTAGTGTTGTCTTCATTGCAGCTCAAGTGCTCCTAACTATTGCTGTGCTGCCATGCTTCAATGATATCCCGTCCATGTTCAGATGTGCTCGGGGTCTTAGCCTGCTCCCATATACCTGGCAGAGACCTTCAACATGTCTGCATATTCATGTGTTCTCGTGCTGAAAAACTGCCCCATGGGATGTGTGATTTAGACATCTTAGGAGGCAGTGTATAACCAGCCCCAGGAAATGTCACTAATAAAGGTACAAAATGTGGTGTTTTTTTTTTTTTTTTGTTTTTTTACAAAACAAAATCTACAATTGTGTAAGAGAGAAGAGGAATCAACAGGTGAGAGGAAGTTCTTTTCATGTGTGAAGCTCTGCTTCAAGTCAGATTATTCGCTCACTTCGTTTACCTTAAAGTGTTACTAAACCCAGGACCCTGCATTCACTATATCTGATCTCCCACAGTACACACAACATGGAAGTGCAATTATTTTAGTAAATATAAACTGCTAAATACCTTTTCTCATCAGCAGTTGGAGCTGTCTTGTGACTTCAGCAGAGCACTGGTTAAAGCTTGTAAGAGGAGTTTTCTTTCTGCTCTAGGAGGATGTGAAAGTCCTGACGCTCTGTCTGGACAGTGCTGATTGGCCCTGTGCTGGTCACATGCACTCTCCCAAGAAAACCACTCTAGCAATACACACCAAACTGTGCATGTGACTACGGATTCAGTCTGCATCAGGTGGTCATTTCAACAAGAGGAGGGGCAGAGAAGTCAGGATCAAACAGTCTTTTTACACAATGCAGAGGATTAACCCTTTAGGTTCCACAGTGAGTATAACAAGCATGCTTTACTGCATATTCAGACTGATTTTACTGTTGTGGGTTTAGTAACACTTTAATCTAAGACCTCTGTAATCCACTGTGGGAAGAATTTAGAGAACACCTTACAGGGTAACCGAATATGTACTTCCTTAGAGCAGAACTACACTGTAACTGAGCACCACAAACCAAAAGCTCTATTTAATTCATTTTTAATATTCAAAGCAAACTCACCCATCCATACATGTCTCCATGCTTTAGTTTGCTGAGAAATCTCTTAGAAAAACACTCCCTAGCATTTTTGGCAGTGGCCATCTTGTGTAAGGGCAAATGATTCATGTAGCATTTACTTCCTGAAATCCATCTGCCCTTATCTTAGGCATGAAGACAGGAGGGTGTGCTTAGCTGAGAAAGCCCCTCCTCCCTCTGGAAGACTTCTGGGATGTATGGCATCATTTACCTAGGCATGGAAACAAAGAAGTAACTGTAGAAATGTAACAAAACAGTTGTAATTAAGTAAATATGTTATACTTTCCTATCTGTTTACTACAGTAATGCTAGCAGCATAAGGATTCAAAATAGTCAATGTTGTTTGAGAGAGTGAAGTTCCACTTTAGGCCCACACTGTTTTCACCCCAACCTTATTCAAGTTACTTTTTTTTTTTTTTGGAAACATCTGTACTGCTTTTTTTTTTTTAATATTATTATTATTATTATTATTAATAATAATAATAATAAATATTATACAGGATTTATATAGCTCCAACAGTTTGCAACATGATGGCAGACAGTACAGTTACAATAAAATTCAATACAGGAGGAATCAGAGGGCCTTGGTTATTAGAACTTACAATCTAGGAGGGAGGGAAGCTTTTCCCCTGCATTAATCTCTTCTTTATTGCCATTTAACAATTCTCTAAAGTCACCAATGGACTGAACCTATTGGGCAAGTGTTAAACAGAAATCCATTGATAGAGTAAGAATACAGCACCTCATTTAGATATTTCATTTTCTTTTCTTTGGTTTCAGATATTTACAACCAAGTGTACTATATGGTGATCTTTAGCATACAACAGGGATTTATAACATTAACAAAGGGCATAGGGCCCGTCCTTTCTTTTACCTATAGTGATTTACTCAAATTTCTCTTCATTCTGGCTTCTCTTGATGTATAGCAACAGCCAGAATAAAATCTAACACCTTTGCTAGGAAAAAAAATACAAATGGTAAAATTGAGCACATTTTGTTTATAATGGCTTGAAGCAGTACATGAACTGAGGGTTACAAATGACTTTACAACAGTTTAAGAAAAGTTTCTGGCTAACACTGTTTGAATTAGATGAGAAGTGTTACTGAGGGAAAGAATTGCTTTTCTGGTGGTTTTGTTTGAGATCGACTTTATTTCCTTCAACAGGACAAAAGTTTAACATCATTTACTTCAACCACTACATCCAAAGGTTTCAGGAACACAGTTCTGGTAGTTCTGCTTACCACAGCATTTAGAGAGAACTCATTTTTTGTTTTCAATTTAACTTTAAGGCTCCATGCACAATGGGCGTTTTAATAGCGTTGGTAGTGTTAGCTCTGTAGTCACGTTAAAAACGTTTTGCAGCGGTTTTTAGCACTAGCGTTTAGCTGCGTTTTTCCTCCTTTGCGTTTTTTAGAAGTTTTTTATCCTTTTTTTACCCCCCTCAAAAAAAATCTTTTTGGCTAAAAAAAAGTCCAAAAATGCTGGTTTGCTGCATTTTACCACATTTTTTACAGCTAAAAACTCCTCTAGAAACCCACTAGTTCTGGGGTTTCTTTCCAGCCAAAAAAAACGTTGATTACAGTCTATGTGTGCATGGACACATATGATAACATGCTGGGGAGTTTACTGGCTGTAGAGAAAACTGCCAAAAGCCAAAAACAGCCGCTGTAAAAATGTCCAGTGTGCATGAGGACTAAACATGCCTGGGTTATTCATAAATGTATCCATGCAAAAAAGCTTGAATGATAAGGCGAGTTTTTTAACCAACATCACTGTTTTTTCTCCATCTTGAGGACCAGCTTACTCAGCACCATTTGTCCTTTTGCCTGTGACGACAAAGGAGTTTTCAGATTCCATCTGTAACGATATCACAAGTAAAATGTATTACTCTAGCTCACCCCTTTCACCATTACAGTCCTATGACCACTGTATAGCAGCGTGGATGGAATTCCTCTACCAAATATTAAAAACCGTATTGGTCCAAGTGACCGATTGCAGCCTACAAAGAGATTTCAAGATTGTGTAGCTCATTTTGTGAGGAGAAGCTTACGGAATGGTTTCATATTTTAATGTAGATCACGGTTACCGACCAACAGCAAATTTACGGACAGTTTGTAAAAACCGGTGATTTTTACAACTGTCTGTAAATATCAGGGGCTGATAGTTTGTCATGCTGTGTTGACTTTTGTAAGTGTAAACCAGTCAAATTACTTGTTATGGGAATTGTCAGTGTTTCATATTGTGTTTATACTGTTTAAATATTGCTTGTCATAGTTTTTAATGTCATTTTTCAGGCTGTCAAAAAAAATAAAGTGCTGCAACAGTAAATTTTCCACGTTTTGTCAGTACAAAATGCTGCATAAGGTTGACAACACTGTTTTAGATGAAGCACACCCAATTTCAAAATAGGGGTTATATTCACTTTGTTTAAATCCTGTATATCACGTTTTGTTGGTCTTTCAGTGGGGGTCTTCTTTAAAGCAGAACTCCAGTCACTGACATTTATACAAATTCATAACATGCTTGTGTTAAAATGCTCAGCTCGGTCCTGTTTACTGTAGAATTAATTGGTTTATGCCCATTGGTAATGCTGCCAGTACTGTACTTCCCTGCTTTGGCTATAAGAGCTATGGCTCTCATTTAGTACAGGGACTCTGTTGTTTACCACCTCTCCTCTTGTCCATTCAAAGAACACATTCTTTGAACAGAATACAAGGCATTCTGTGAATAGACCAGAGCTGCGATCTTGTCCTTTATCCTCCCCTCCTCTTGCCTTGTTTAAAGAATGCAAGGTATTCTGTATATTGACAAGGGGAGAGGAAATGGAGGGTAAACAGGGTTCCTTCATTCTCACAACTGCAGTCCTGAAAGCACAGCACTGGATGTATTATCCAATGGGCACAAATCACCTATTTCTACAGTAAACAGGACCAGGCTGAGCATTTAAAGGAAATGTTTGGAATTAAAAATAAAAAAAATTACATATTAACCTCCATGCTGCAGCATTGGTTTGATGCTGCAGCTGTCCCCCGATGCCTTTAGAAGCCCGAAAACTGTGCGATCACATAACTGTCCATCACCAGTCTTCTCTGCTCCTCCAGCGTTCAATGGAGTGCCCAGCTGGAAAAAGGGGCAGGTGCAGCTGGTTCAGGCTTTCAGCAGTGTATTGAGAGGTTGAGCCACCTGCCGAACAGGGACCTGGGTGGATTCCAACAATTTGGTCAAAATCCTTTCAGAGCCTGGAGCTGACTCTGGGTCACAGGAAGAGGAGTATGGCCAAAAAAGCTGTAGATATCTTTCTGTTTTAATACACCTCAAAAGAGGTAACTTTTTTTTTTCCCCCCTTACAAACTTTTATAGATGTCTGTGGCTGAAGTTCCATTTTAGCGTACTGCACCTACATTATAAACATGAGTAATTTGTCTGGCCATCTAATGTTTCCGTAGACAGTGGTGTATTTAGGTTTTGTGCTGCCCTAGGCAACACAAAAATAGTCTGCCATCGCGGAAACTGACCACCACAACCTCCCCTTCCCCCTGCCGTGTAGAGAGCCTGGCTTTGACCAACAACACCCCTGCCCCCCACTTGGGAGAGCCTTCCACTACCCCCCCCCCCCCCAGGCGAGAGAGAGACACTCTGCTTCACAGCTATGGACACCCCTAGGAACGAGTTAGGCTCTGCATACACCATCAAGCAGCCTCTCCCGGATCCCACCTGGTTTCCCATGGTGCTTGTCCCTTCTTTCATCCCTTCTTTTGCGGGGAGGTACTGCCCCCCTGCATAATGCTGCCCTAGGCAAGTGCCTTGTTTGCCTTGTGGGATATACACCCCTGGCTGTAGGTAGGTAAACTATAACATCTGCTCCTCTTGGGATAGTCTGGTGTCAGTGCCCCAAAGAACATCGGTACCAAAGTTATGCAATTTTTCACATGGGCTGTCCACATATGATTAACACTAGGCAGAAGATATTTTCCTCAACTGACCCAGATGATATGTAGCAGTAGAGGTGTTTATATAATAAGTATTTCCCATTGCTAATATTGTGTTAAAAAAGAAACAAATAGCATAGTAGATTTCTGCCACTGGCCATATTGATTTTGTAGTTTGAAAGTGCATGCCCTTCATTTTTTTACAGTCTTTACTTAGAAACAATTGTAAATATAAAAATAACGAAATCCTGGCACAAATGCTTCTGTATTCTCAAGCGGTGTTTAAACCTGTCAAATTGAAAGGATCCATAGCATATGGGTATCTTTACTTAACTGTGAGAGCCAGTCAAAACCAATGCTTCAGACATCAGAATTTGCTGTGTAAGACTACAACTTATTTGTGTAAGTGTCAGCCCAAGATGTATGGTACACATAGTGACATGTCATGCTGTGAGCGGCTGGTGTGGAAGGATGTGTCTGCTTTCTTTTGTTTCTGCCTGAAGGGAAAAATAAGACTGGCAAAGCTAACAGCTGGTTTAACATTGTCACTGTGTCCAGCTGTTCCCATGGAGTTAACCAGGCAGAAGAGCACATGGGGACATCATAGATTGCATCTACCATGGGAGACGGAATAGTTATTCTCCTGATTAATCTAATGCGGTGGGGGTGAGAGCTTCAGAGCAAAGATGGAGCTCACTTTCATCATTCAGAATAATGGTTAATTCTCACCTCTTCTGCTGCTTGGTCTCTGAAGAAATCACTTGTATGGATTATAGTCCTTTTACTTTCGTATTGTCAGCAAAGCTGTGATTTCAGTTATCAGACAAGTAGAAAAGAAAGAAAATTAAGGTGCTCTGAGCTACACTTTCAGAACCTCAGTGTTCTTTTGTATGGCATA